AATGGTATAAACCTGTTTGACGAATCCATATGGAAATGGTGGAAAGCAAACCAGCTAGACCTTTCTTAGCACCATCTGGAACAATGAATTCAGCTGGATTTGCAAATAGGGGCCGTAGTGGGAAGGTAAACCTCAACAGCCCTAACTAAATCCAGGCAATGAAAGTCCACCTCTCTGGAAGGATGAGGGCAGAGAGATGGAAGAACAAAGTCTTCGCTCAAGTGGAAGACTGACGCCATGTTAGGTACAGACAGGCAATGGCGAAGAACCACTTTATCCTTGTGTAACAACAAAATTGGCTGATCACAAGAAAGGGCTGCTAGCACGGATACCCTCTGATTGGCCGAGTTGAGCTGTGTGACATCATCAGCCCGCCCGTCCGACTCAGCCAGAGAAAGCTTTGTATTCATTTACAGAATAAAAAGCTGCCTATGAATGGCTGCATGCCACACAGACCAACTCTGCATTGTTCAAGGTGTGAGACAGGATGTGTCTGTCACACAGACGGAACCCAGCACTGTGAACTGTATGTAGCTGAAACTACATGCAGTTTATACAGTGCTTAACCCCTTCCCGCTGGCGCCTCCCGGCCCTTTAAGAGTTTCAGACGCCGGGAGGCGGGGAGGGTGGGGCGTGGTTTAGGGATCATGAGAGCACCGTGCCGCGTTGTCACATGATCGGGAAAGGTCCCGATAGAAAGAGCAGACCGTGACTTTTCCGCTAGTACCGGACATGTGTGCTGAGAGCGCGCAGGGCGTGCGCTCTCAGCACATATGTTTTTTGTTACATGAACGCAAATGTGTGGCTGCTTGGCGTCTAGGCCCAGACGCCAGGAGGCCGCACATTTGTGTGTGGCCGGCATAAAGGGGTTAAAGACACTGCACCAGTTAGTGAAGGAAATTGATTGTTTGGATCAGCTTGGTCCAAAAACAAACTATTTTAAGTCAAAAGAAGAATGGAAATCTGCTTTAAACCTATTGACTGCAAAGCAGGGCGATAGATTGGACCTTGAGAACAAGGTTCAGGCTAAGTGGAAGGTGCCATGGAGTGTCTGTGACCAACCATAAGAGCTCCGTGAACCAAGCCCTGCTTGGCCAGCCTGGAGCCACCAAGATAAATGGAAAATCTTGCTGGATTCCTGGCAAGAACCAGGAAAGGCGTTTTAGAGGGAAAGGCATATATCAAGGAGTACATGTGCCACAGAGCCACCAGAGCATAGAACGTTTCCGCCCAAGGGTACTTTGACTTCATCCTGAATTCAGGAACTTTCTGATTGAGTCTGGACACAAACAGAATGCTGCAATCTCCCTGCTTCCATGCAAAGTTGAGCCTTCAGAGCAGCTTGTGTATCTGGGACTGCCCCCATCCAGGAAGCAAGACTGGGAGGAACAGCACTGGAAGACAAAAAAAATGGCACCAGCAGTGCCTCCCCCCATTGTACACACTCCCACGGCACGGAGATCACTCCTATGTGAAGGAGAAATGTAGCTCGGTCTACTAGGAGTCACATTCAGCCAGGCATAGCTCAGAAATGAGTAATCACTGTGAGCAGAAAGAGGAGTCATCTGGGTTCAGAGTATAAAGAAAACTTAAAATATAATGAATGGCAGAACTGTTTCTTTTTTTTTAAAGTTTTGAATAGATTGGAGAGGGACTAGAACACCTGTCAGTTTTTTATTGCTGTCTGTGCCCCCCATAAGGAGATTCAGTGCAGGGGCGGACTGACAACTCATGGGGCCCCCGGGCAATAGGGGATCATGGGGCCCCTGTGTCCTTGCCCAAACTAAAAAAAAGCCTATGAAAAAGGTACCAGGGGCATCTCATGGGGCCCCTACTGACCCCAGGCCCTCGGGCAGTGCTCAAGTTTCCAAATGGTCAGTCCGCCCCTGATTCAGTGTCTCTATTTATCCTGTTTACCATTATCATTGAAAGTGAAGAAAATCCCAAATTTTGGGTTTTCTCCAGAAAAGTAAGAGAGGGGAAATCTTTAAATGGGGATAAATGTTATGGTGGCCTGGAGGTTCCCAAGAGATTTCCTTAGTTTGCAGGAATTTCCTCTCACTTCCTGTTTGGCTATAGGACAAGAAGTGAGGGGAAATCTCCAAAATGGAACACAGATGGTGAAAAAAAAATCTGATTGGGAATATAACCCTCGCTTGCTCTATCCAAAATAAAAAAAGTTTTGGCTATAGTTCTACTCATTCAGCAACAGATAGGGCTGTGAGGAAAAGAGAAAACAGCATATTAACTCAATCAGGCTGTGAATGAAAAATCATAAAGAACATTAACACATTCAGCTCCAGATAAGGATGTGAGAGATAGTAAAAACAGCACAGTACCTCATTCAGCGCCAGTCCTCAGTAGTTCAGTGAGAACTAACACTGGCCCCAATACAAACTTTGCCCCAAATAATAAATGTATTGGTAGATGAAAAAAGATCACCTGAGGCAAGGGCTTACCTATGCTGTAAAGCGAAGCACCCAACCCAAACATGGATAGTACTCACGGTCTAGTAGGAGTCAAACCTGGAACCTGAAGTATGTGCAGTAACAAATCACCTCTGATCCTATATGGATCTGAGTGTCGTCAACCAATATTCGGCACTGCAATGGAAGAACCCAATCCAGATGAGGGGTTGTGCCCCTTCAGGCCTCTCTGTGTGAGACAGATTTATCACAGCCGACCCCCATACTGGGGAGTGCATGCATTTGTTGGTGATGCTGGAGGAACTACCCGGATCTATGATACCCAGCCTGTCACAAAATCCATGAACAGGAATCAAAATCCATCAACCTGAACTAAAAACTTCAAAGAAAAACTGATACAGCAGCAAAAAAAAAAAAAAAATATATATAAAAAAAATGTTGTTGCACCATGTGTCCTACTCCTGTAGGTGGCAACATCAAACCCATCCATCAGGTGGCTGTGTCCTTCAATGAACGAAAGGAAAGTATTAAATCTGAATTCCAGACAGATTAAAGCACATCTAATCATGCAGGTATGTATTAAAATGATCCAAGTGTATTTTTCAAACAACTAGTCTAAGTACTATAATTGACTTGGTATCAGCCTCTTGCAATGCCCTATACAACAGAGCTCAGACTAAGAGATGGAGAAGCTGCACAAGCAGTCAATTTGGGTATGCTGCAATGCTCATGTGTTAGCAAGGGATATTTTGACAGGAATAGAGAGCACATGTTTGTTGCTGCTACTTAATTGTACAATCACAGGATAGGGCGACAAGATCGAGTTGCATTGTTAGGCCTCATGTACACTTGAGCTAAAAAGACAAACAATGCTTTTACAGGCATTTGAGGCTTTTCTCTGCCTCTAAACTCCCCTGCTTGTTAACCTGTGTGTCTAGGGTTGCAGAGTATAGAGAGTTTAGATGCAGAAAAAAACCTATCACTTGTTCAAGAGAAGAGCATTTTGGCAGAAAAGCATGAAGGCTTGAACTTAAGCAGAGAAAAGTCAGGCCTCTAAACTGACTGTGATGGAGCAATGTAAATCTTCGGTATGGATAGACAGAAATGCAAATCCTTTGATGAGAAACAATTGTCATATATGTATTTTATCTGTGTATTTAGCAGTTTGCCTGGAGTTCAGCTTTAATGTATTTGAAAATACTAACCCTATGTTCACATATGTGTGGGTGGTGCCGCTGCGGAACTGAACGAAAATCCATGCAGCCACACCACCCGCACAGAGAAATACGGACCCCCGGGCGGGTGCCATTATTTATAATGGCACGCCGTCCGACCTGGAAAACGCAACCGTACTAGGAACCGAGGTTCCCGTGTAGGCTGCGTTTTCCAAAGAAGTGCAGGGACTTCTTCCCTGCATGTCACGGGCACGGGAGTCCATTCAAATGAATGGGCTCCCGTGCCCGTGCAAAACGCAACCCGCACGGCCGCATATATGTGAACCAGGGTAACAGTCAATAGTCCGTCATTTTACTATCTTTTCCTAACCCCCTGTACAGTAAGGGTAAAAATTAAAGTGAGAGAATATGCAGTGTGAGCCAGTTGGTCTCAACTACATTGCAAAATGCTGCAGATCTAACATGTTTTTAGTCACTGAAGGCCAGAGGGGATGGTGGTAAGCACCTTGCAGGAAAAGAGCTTATGGAAAACCCCAGCAGAGTGGTTCTGCTCATTAGTCCACTGAACAGGCAGGTGAGACATTTCCAACAGGAAACAGCGGTGGCTATGCTGTATAAAATTACAAAATTGTTGGCAGGACACGTACTTCAACTGTTTAAGCTGGCTAGAGTTCCACTGCAATTCTGCCAACTACTTACTGTGTTTTCACAACTAAATCTGTATATTCTTCATAACAGCAACCTTCACAGCTGTTAATCCATCCACATGGAAACGCAATGCCCACTGAAGCTCTGCACCACTTACTACTGCATAAGCTTCGTTCTTCTTTTTATGATCATTGAAAAATACAGTGGAAAATGTCCAGGCAACACATGAGAGCCATGTGAATTAAATAAAAGTCATCCCGTTCACTAGCTCAGGAAATGCTCTCAGAGATTCGTCATTTGATAGTGATGTACAATAAAACCTTTAATTCAATTTAAATGCAAAGTGATATTTTTAAATAAATAACAAAAAGAAAATAAAATGCCTTGCACCACCAGAACAGTTATACAACCACATGAAAGAAGAAATGTGCCACACAGGAATTATGATTTAGGGGCATGCATAAATTAATGTTAAAGAGAAGAAATGGATCTAGAAATACTGGATCTTTCCTTCCACTGCACAAACACAGAACACAGAGCACACGGAAAAACATTGTAGTGAGGTGTAAACAAATCCAAGATACTCTATAAACCATGCCACAGATAAGAAACAAAATGGGTAACTCATCTGGGAGTACAAGGGGGGACGGATCAATAAAGGGATCCATCTCTGGTTGTGCAAGTAAAAACTGGGTCAAAACCACACAAACGTTGAGCCCCCACCCAAACAGACCTCTGACACTAAGCATACCTTTATCAGCCTCAATTGCCTCAACTGTGGCTGTACAGAAGTGAGCAGATGCATGCAAAATGAATGAAAAAGATGAGAAGTGTAATATCGGATAACAGAAAAGGCAATGACCAATGCTATATTATATACTTCCACCCCAATTATCTGTATCATACCCATCATTTTCCAGTACACAGCAGATGCATTTAAAGAATACGTTTGTTAGGTATGTAATGTTGCCTGGTAGTAAAAATGGAAAACTAAAGAGGTAGGAAATGTACACTATTTTTAAAATTATGAGAAGGAAAAATTATTTTTCTTTCCATTTTTACAGTAATGACATTTAAACAACAAAAAAAAGTTCTCATAGGCAGTTTTGCATTCATGTTTCTTTTCTTGTCAGTGCCAATAGAAAAAATGAAATGCTTCCCAACAAACATATCTGTACAAAAATATGGCAATGGCATTACACATATAAAGGCATTACATATATATTTGGACAGCTGCAGAAGAGAAACTGACACAAAAATCAAAAACATTATCAGGATTACCCAAGAATAGTGTGGTTTTAGGTGGAATGGACCAGGGTTTCAATCTTTGCTAAACTGAAAAGGTGTCCAGAACTCCAGAGGGGAGATTTGCACTCACCTGTACCAGACCTTTGTTTGCTATGTGAGTGTTAAGCTGAACAGCACTGCCACATGCTGAAATTAGACTGTTTTCATTTGCACAATTCAGTTGCATGTCCCTTAGTCCAGTCTCTATACATTCCTAAGAAAAATGCAACAGCCACTGTGCACAGAGGTGGATTCTATATATGAAGATAATGAGTATGCGGACAGCCCTGAGTGAGGGGCACTGCTGTTCAACCTGAAGCTAAAGAGGTTTCTCATGAATGCAACATACAATGAACATTTTTGGCTAAGGCCCTAGAGGGCTCTAAACTCTAGGCTAGGGGAACACACCTTGCCATGCTCTAACCTAGCCTAGTTTTACTAACATAGAGCATGTTGACTGCCTGTCATTGAGTAAAAAGCATTGGAAATCAATGTTATCTAGTTAGATATGTATTGAAGTATGCCTTGTATGATTGTTAAACCTAAGGTAGGCAAAAGCAGATCATATACAGTGGGGATCGAAAGTTTGGGCACCCCAGCTAAAAATGTGTATTAATGTGCATAAAGAAGTCAAGGAAAGATGGAAAAATCTCCAAAAGGCATCAAATTACAGATTAGACATTCTTATAATATGTCAACAAAAGTTAGATTTTATTTCCATCATTTACACTTTTAAAATAACAGAAAACAAAAAAATGGCGTCTGTAAAAGTTTGGGCACCCTGCAGAATTTATACCATGCACTGCCCCCTTTGCCAAGCTGAGACCTGCCAGTGTCATGGATTGTTCTCAATCATCGTCTGGGAAGACCAGGTGATGTCAAGCTCAAAGGTTTTAAATGCCCAGACTCATCTGACCTTGCCCCAACAATCAGCACCATGGGTTCTTCTAAGCAGTTGTCTAGAAAACTGAAACTGAAAATAGTTGACGCTCATAAAGCTGGAGAAGGCTATAAGAAGATAGCAAAGCGTTTTCAGATGTCAATATCCTCTGTTCGGAATGTAATTAAGAAATGGCAGTCATCAGGAACAGTGGAAGTTAAAGCAAGATCTGGAAGACCAAGAAAAATATCAGACAGAACAGCTCGCAGGATTGTGAGAAAAACAATTCAAAACCCACGTTTGACTGCACGATCCCTCCAGAAAGATCTGGCAGACACTGGAGTTGTGGTACACTATTCCACTATAAAGAGATACTTGTACAAATATGGTCTTCATGGAAGAGTCAACAGAAGAAAACCTCTTCTACATCCTCACCACAAAAATCATCGTTTGAACTTTGCAAATGAACATATAGACAAGCCTGATGCATTTTGGAAACAAGTTCTGTGGACCGATAAGGTTCAAATTGAACTTTTTGGCCGGAATGAGCAAAGGTACGTTTGGAGAAGAAGGGGCACAGAATTTAATGAAAAGAACCTCTGTCCAACTGTTAAGCATGGGGTTGGATCAATCATGCTTTGGGGTTGTGTTGCAGCCAGTGGCACAGGGAACATCTCATGAGTAGAAGGAAAAATGGATTCAATAAAATTTCAGCAAATTTTGGATGGTAACTTGATGCCATCTGTGAAAAAGCTGAAGTTAAAGAGAGGATGGCTTCTACAAATGGATAATGATCCTAAACACACCTCGAAATCCACGGGGGATTACATCAAGAGGCGTAAACTGAAGGTTTTGCCATGGCCTTCACAATCTCCTGACCTCAACATAATTGAAAATCTATGGATAGACCTTAAAAGAGCAGTGCGTGACAGACAGCCCAGAAATCTCAAAGAACTGGAAGACTTTTGTAAGGAAGAATGGGCAAAGATACCTCAAACAAGAATTGAAAGACTCTTGGGCTGGCTACAAAAAGCATTTACAAGCTGTGAAACTTGCCAAACGGGGCAGAACAAGATATTAACTCTGCAGGGTGCCCAAACTTTTGCAGATGCCATTTTTTTGTTTTTTGTTATTTTGAAAGTGTAAATGATGGAAATAAAATCTAACTTTTGTTGACATATTATAAGAATGTCTAATCTGTAATTTGATGCCTTTTGGAGATTTTTCCATCTTTCCTTGGCTTCTTTATGCACATTAATACAAATATTTAGCTGGGGTGCCCAAACTTTCGATCCCCACTGTAGTTATCCTCTGTAGCAATTAAAGGCATTAAGCCCAAATTAATTAACTACACTTCTTGCAGATTTATCAGCAACAATAATGTTTTATCTAGGTAACATGTCACTCTTTCCCCAAAACTGCAGAACATAAGGTATTTCCCTTGAACTGGAGATTTATAGCAGCTTAGGGGTCCATTCACATATCTGCATTTACATGTTGTAGTAAAGATTACATCTGTACTATATATCCCTATGGAATATGGGCCAAGCAGGATTATTTAAAACAATTGCACCACACTACAATGCAGTTATGTTAACTGTGCATTAGGCTATTCATGACCAAAACAATGTTACCATCTCTATCTAACTACTCTATCTGGGGCTCTTGCAAATGGCTGTACAATAAGCATATGGCCATACACCATAAAATACACTTGTTATGGCACCTGGAAGACATAACTGGAGAGTATTTTTGAGATTTATAAAGGAAAAACATCAACGGCGGCTATACACACAACTGCCACCACTCAGTTACATGATTGTACATGATTTTTTCAAAAATTTGAAATCTTGAAGAATATGCCTGTAATGTGGACATGTGTAAATGAGAGTTACAACGGTTACACGTGTATAGCCGAACCCACCTTTGCCTGTAATACAAGGGCAAAAATACATTGATGTGGTTTCCGGGAGCCATAGTAACAAGTATATTTTGCTCTGTACTTAGAGAGAAGTAACTACAAGACAACATCTTGGGTAACTGTATTCGTGTATCTCATATGGGCAGTCTAGACCACTGCACTGTTTAACTGTTGCATGAAAGCATAAACCTTTCCAGAGTATTAGTGCCATGTGAACATAAATTCGGATGTTAAATCACATTTAATGAATTTGGTCCCGATTGGAATTTCTTAAACTACTGTCTGCAAATGCAACTGTTGCCCATCATTTATGAAGAGCAGCATTGCCCTGCTATACTAGTGCTGGAAAAAAATCAGACCTGGGAAAATGTGTCCAATCCTACTTCATGTTTTTATACTATCAGACGGTAAGACTTAAATATCGTTGCATCTTTGTGAAATCACATTGTTTCTAGAAAGTAACAGACATTTTTCAGTTGCTGGGTACATGAAATCATGGTATACCCACTCAGCTGGTACAACTAAATGGACTGGTGTCTTTTCAACCAGACTAACTATGTAACGATGTAAAAAGAAAGAAGTACACATCTTCACTTCTTCCTAAAAATGGAAATCAAAAGGTCTAACCATCTGGCACCGAGCACCACAGTACTCAAAACATAATATTGTGCAGAAATAAATACAGTACAGTTTAATATTACTTTAGCCTTCACCAACATTAGAGAATCCCTTAAGATGTTACCAGCAGCAGGTCAGTCAGATATTTGATGGTCACATCAGAAATGTTTTCCAATTTTCCTTTTTCAGACAATTAAGGAATTCTGTAGCATATTCCAAGATGAAGATACCAAGCACGTCCTTAAATTGCATGCAATACAGCAGTTGGCTGATATTTAATATTAGGTCTTTATTTTCATGCAAAATATTGGCACACTTCATACCTTTTAGATTATTATTTATATTGTGTATAGTTTTTTTGCTGATCATCCATACATATTAAACAAACAAATGCCTTGTGTAGGTAAAAATGCATCTTATGTGCAACAGAAAAGCCCATCCCTCAAATACAAGATGTCCACCCACAGGTTTAGACACACAAGACATACATTTTTACATATAATACTACAACTATAAACTAATACAAACAGAGGACTAGACAGACCAGACTAATAGGAAGAATCAGCTACACTTTGATAGAGAAAAGCAAGCAGAGAAGGGAAATTTGAGGTTAGTGTTACATTAGAAAAAACAAACACTCAAACCAGAACATCTTTTAGCACAGAATACCAGGGTACAAAACCAAAAACTGCATAGTAGCTTTTTCTGAAATATAGTATTTTGAGCTTCATTTGGCAGGAAACATGTTTTTTCAGACTTAGCAAAATAATTTAAGATTTATAAAGCACTGCATCTACTTTATCTCTGGAAGAACACTTTCTTTTCCTGTCATACTAATCAGTCACCTGAAATAAAGAAAGCCCTGTGAAACTTTAGAGGCAATAGGGGATCACAGGAAAGGTATATTCTGCTTGGAAGAAGGTAGGGATTTAGGTTGTGGTTTGTACCCGTGGTATGAATTGCTAGCTTCCATTGCAGGGGAATGCTTGAGCAATGTACTATTGTTAGCCACTGTGACAGAGGCTACAAAGCACTAGATATCCCCAGCATGCATTGGTTGTAGAACTGGAAAGGGAATGAGATGTGCCCCAGTCCACCTGAGGCACAGCAAGCTTTATATTATTACCACTTTGTAAAGTCTGCCGTCCTCCAGCCAGTACTCCGCTCGGCAGCATTCCAGTGGGGGTTAAACCCTTCAGTGTCAACACACTTTCACTTTCTTCCCTGGGAAACACAAAGAGGAAACAAAAATGATTTCAAAAGATTGTGTGCATGTCAGCGGAAACTGGTAAAACTTTAGAATATATAGACACAACCTGGAAAGCAAGCAGAGTGCAAACTTAGAAAACACCCTGCCACTTTCATATGGCATTGTCACCCCATGCTGAAATAGTTTCTGAATGAAAGAAATAAAGGGTTAACCGAAGCAGCAGGAGGTAAAAAATATTTACACTGTTTTGCTGAAGTACCTTACAAAACACCTTACCGGTAGCTAAAAGTGTCTATAAAGGCCTGGACCTGCAGCTTGGCAGTTAAGAATATTTTAATATTCCTTAACCAGCTCCTTAAAGGGGGTATGTAATTAACCTACATTTTAAATCTCTTGCCATATCCACACTGGGGTTTATTATTATATGCCCTCAGTGGCTTAAATGCAATGACCATTACATTTAGTGCATGTATTGTTCAGCATAAAAATAGCAAACCTGCCAAAACAAAATCGAGCCTAGTATGCATCCTTCTGTAGGATTGGGTGAATCACGTGCAAGACTCCTAACACTTACCCAATCCTCAAACCTGAGTTTTCAAAGGAAGAGAAACCCAGGCCTACCCAGGGACCCAGCAAAATAGCTTATAGCTGCTCTAGAACATAGCACTGAGGTATAGGACAGTATAAATACTTAAAGGTCCAATTCCATTGAAAAAGAACTGTATAAGTTTCATGCCACATGATCTGGACAGAGAGGAACATAACAGTAAATAAAAGAGCAAAGTTCTTACCTCAAATCTAAATGCACAAGAATAAAAACAAAAAATGAGGAGAGGTTCCAAAAGAAAGCAGGCATGCAGAGCAAGGTGTCAGGATATGCTTCAGTCAATGGGTAAAAGCATTCCTGAGCATTGTACCCACCCATCAGCAGCATGGTTGGTAAGTGATCCATTCAGAACTTATAGTGTGGATATTACAGCAGCAGAATACTGGCTAGTGTATTCCCACGACGGATGTCTGCACAAGCTTCATTCCCAACACAATCCAAGGTAAGTAACCAAGGAGAAATATCACGTTGGGGTTAGCTGTTCCCATAAAACAGAATACTAACTAGTAAATATAGCCACATTATACTTTCAGGATAAAAATAAGTCACACAGTTTTGATACAATGAGAAAATTCCATTTGCTCTTAAAGTGTTACTAAACCCAGGTTCCTGCATTCACTATATCTGGTCTCCCACAGTACACACAACATGGAAATGCAATTATTTTAGGAAATATAAACTGTTAAATACCTTTTCTCCTCAGCAGTATATAGCAGTCTTGTGACTTCTATCAGTGCCCTGCAGAGCACTGGTTACAGCTTGTAGGAAGAGTTTTCATTCTTCCCTGCTTGTCCTAGGAGGCTGCATAACCCTTGACCCTCTGTCTGGACTGGCCCTGTGCTGATCACATGCACTCTCCCAAGAAAAAAAAAAAAAAAAAAACCTTTCTAGTATTACACACCAAAACTGAGCATGTGGAGCTTGCCTCCAAGTCTCTGTTGTATCAGCAGATGGATTGGGAATAGTGGAAGTGGAGGATCAGAGAAGACAGGATCAAACAGCCTTTTTTTACACAATGTGAAGGACTAACCCCTTAGGTCCACAGTGAGTATAACAAGCATGCTTTATTGCATATACATACTGATTTTACAGTTGTGGTTTTAGTAACACTTTAAGAATCATGCAGCTGAATTTTTTAAAATGAAATCTACTAGTGATTTGTACGATAATGTACAGCAAAGTCTTCTGTAACATGTGTGTGTGTGTGTGTGTGTGTGCGCGTGCGTGCGTGTGGGGGGGGGGGGGGGTTTGGCAGGAGATGAGGAGTCATCTTTGTGTTATATGAACAACAAAGATGTCAATTAAAAAAGCAAATGAAATCTCAAGCTACCTATATAAAAAAATATTTGACATATTAATTTGTGCATGAAGTTTTACTTGGTAAGCAATTTGCTGCATTGAATGCTTCAAGGACCTAATCAATATGTATTTGTTAACTAGTTTTATCAGGTGAGGGTCTCATGGGAATTTCTCAACTAATATACTGTTTGAAAGGACATTGTTAAGTACCCCAGCACATTAGGATCCATTGCCAGTACACAGAGATATATATATATATATATATATATATATATATATATATATATATAAAAAAATCTAGTAGTTTCTCGAGCTCTGAATGAAACTAGTGTAAAAACTCAGTGGATGCAGGAAAACCATCTGGGTTACATAACTAACAGAACACCAGCTAATCATTAGCAGTTTCAAATATTAATCCTTATTCAGGGTGTCGCTTAACTAGCTAACAACTAGCCTTAACCTAAAGAACAGCTTTAATTTTTGGTATGTATTTGGGTATGTGGTTTACAGAGGGCAAATGGACAACTTACCATTTAAAAGTACAAGTGCATAATAACCCTTCATTACAAGCTAATTACCTTCTCTCAACCTGGTGTACACTTATCTCTCCTTGACAGCAGTGACCTACCCACCAAAGTGTTTACATTCTAGGTGCAAAAATCTCCCTTTGTACTGATGGCCCCATGCAGTACTTTTCCACAGGCATATACAGGGTTAGGAAAAAAAAATGGAAACACTACATGATTTGCAGGTGTGGAAGTGACAATATGTTTTGCGTTGAAAACAGAAATTATGTGGCATTCTTTTTCTCCCGCTGTGTGAGGAGACACCTAGCTAACAAATGGGAAGCCTCACTTTTGGCATTCAGAGCGTGTGCTGCTAGTATTACGGAGTCGTGTCAGAGCTTACTGAGCATCAAAGAGGGCAATTTGTTGGTGCCTGCTTAGCTGGTGCCTCTGTGACTGATGTTTTCCCATTTATTTGTTGTGTCGCAAGGTACAGTATCAAAGGTTAGGACAGGATAAACAGTTGGCAGGAAAATGTCACCTGATAAGCATAAGCGCAGTCAACATAGTCAACTGACCGAAAAAGACAAAACGGCATTATGCAGGATTGTGACCTGGAATAAGAAAACAACTGCTGCAAAAGAGACTGCAGAGCTAAATCTCAGTTCTGTGAAGACTGAGATTGAGCTCTACAGTCACTTTTGCAGCAGTTGTTTTTCTTATTCTGGTCACTTTCTGTGAAATGTCCTTTTGTATCTTTCGGTCAGTTGACCATTCAACCACACTTACGCTTATTAGAAGACGTTTTCTCGGGAAAGTGTATATGCCGCCATAACCTCTGATATCTTACCTCATGACATGGCAAATAAATGGCAACTCCAGTCACAGAGGCTCCAGCTAAGTGGGAACTGACAATCTGCCCTTTTTGAAGCTCAGTAAGTTCTGACATGACTCGGCAATACTAGCAGCACATGCAGTGAATGACGAAAATTATGCTTCTCATTCCATAGCGGAGTCAAAAAAATGTTACATCACTTCTACTTTCAATGCAAAATATGTCACTTTCACACCTGCAAAGCATGTAGTGTTGCCATTCTTTTGTCTAACCCCTGTATGTAACCATAAAACTAACCAGGCTGAACTGCTGTAATACTGATATTCAGTGGCTGAATGTCTCCTTGCCATGGGAACTCTGCCATACTGACGTTTCTATCTGATCAACCCAGAAGGGAGCACCCTTCGAAATGCGTTAGCTTTTATCCCCCCCCTCCCTTTGGATTAACCTGTAACCCTGTGTGGATTATGGTTACCTTATGCCTGTTTTACCGTCACCTTTGTGAGTATATTTCCTAAATTAAATTAGTCACTATTTATTGAGGTAATGCGCAAGGTTTGTATGCTCTTTCTTTCATCCTCTTCTGCAGTTTTATCAAGCTTCCCCAGCTTCATGATAGAGCTGCACAACCTCTGATCACCAGCAGATGAACACGCTGTTTGTTACTAATGCCCATTTGATCTGAATCTTTGAGCACAGGAGATAATGGATCTTTTGTAACCATACTCCTACTATAGAGACATTAGGCATACTACCCCAATGGTGTCAATGGGAAACTAATGTGCAGGCAGGGATGGAGCTCTCTATATTGATGTAAAAACTGCAGGAGACTGTCGTGATCATGGACTGTTAAAAAGGAACTTTACCCGTAACAATTTGATAAAAAATAATGTTCTTTAGCAAGAAACATACATTCAACCTAAATGATTATGCTATCAATATTAGTGTGTGCTTTAAATTGCCTCCAGCATTGTTACGGTTTCTTCTTGCTGGAGGCTGCCATTTTGAAGCCCAGAGCCCCTGAACAGTAGTAAACCTTTAGGCCGACAGCAGACTGGCCTATACAATGCTGGAGGCAATTTACAGCACACACTAATTTTGTTAGCATAATTATTAATGTGGAATGTATGTTCCTTACTAAAGAACATTATTTTTTATCACATTATCATGGGCAAAGTTTCACTTTAAACAGTAGACACACTGATTTTTAATGTTTTAAATAGGTAAACCAGCAAATGGGGCCAGCCTGAAGTGTTCTAGCAAGACTTGATTTTCTGACTAAAGTTCCACTTTAAGTATGCACTGGGGTGGGGTTCTTCTTTCGCTTAGGGGGCTGTTTTTTTTTTTCTAAGAAAAGTGTATTTGTATTTAGCACTGTTACAAAGAGAACTAAAGTTCAGTTTTATGCGCCTTACAGCAAGTCTACATCTTATATCTTTCAATGAGGAATCTGCCCATACCACAGAGAGATCTGCAAACACAGGTGACTGTTTTTAATGCATGAGCTGTTTCAGTGGGCAAAACTCAAATCAGATTTTCTAAGTAGAAAAGCTCCGTGACCAACACACAGTGCTCCTAATAGGTGCTCTACAGTCTACTCTTCACACCAACAAATCACCTCTGAAAGTGAATCTAAATGCATAGGAATCTTGATACAGAAACAAATTCACTGCATAGAATGGTCCAGTAGCAGAAATAACCAGCAGTTAATCTTGAGTAGTTTAGTTTGGGTGTCAGGCCATGTCATGCTATCCCAGTCATTCCATTTTTTGCTGCAGAGTAATCATACGAGTCCCCCGCCCCCAACACATGCTCATACAGCTTCCTGAAAATCATAAAAGGTAACAAATATTTCAATTTCTATTTTGTTTTTGCATATTATTGACGTTTTTTCTTTAACTATTCTCAAATACATCACTGCTTATTTAGAGCTATAACTAAACATGTTGGCTTACCTGAGCACAGAGAAGACTCTTGCCATCTTGCCTATTGCCCGAATTTTGTTCCTGATGATTTCTTTACGAGCGGCAGCTGTGTACCTACTTTCAATGGAATAAGAAAAATCTCAAGCTCGGGAATACATATTTTCTTGGAGAGCGTATTAAACAGAAATGTATGAAAATCTGACAAGAATTGCCAACACACCACCACACGCTTTCAAAGTTTGTTGTTCACAAACTTACAAGAGTACTGGTTAAGTGCACCAATAGAAGCAAAATATAAAACAAACCAGACCAAATAGACTGCTGAACTATGGGTAAAAGAAACATTCTTGCTGTTAAAACTTTAGATACATTGTCGCTATACATATGAACATGTGACATTTTGATAATGAAGTTGAGGTGTTAAAACATTAAATGGCTTTCTATAGGCACAAAGATATGTGTGAAAACAGGATTACATGAAACACAGGATATATGCAGCTGATGTGTTTAAGCAAATATGGCCTAATCTGCATTGTCTGACCTGCTTTTTCTTGTGCTCTGTCTGACATCAAGATATGGAAAGGACTACACTTTTAGGGGTACTGGAGAGCTGGAGAGCAGAAAGTACAGTCTGCATATAAACAGTGGTAAAAAAAACACTGTATGGAAGATGTGCACAAACGTGTGGTCCAAACCATGTGCTCTATAAAACTCAGGTCCATGCATGCTATGAACTATAAGCATGAACAGCTTCAAGTATGAAATATTCTATTAAGGAAACTACTATTGATGAGCAAATTCAGCGTCCAATTTTTGTTTCAGTGCAGGCTTGGAAGTGAAAGGGAAGAGAATCTGTCAGGTTGCTATGGGCAATAAAAACACTTAGTATTAGTATATGAATCATATGAATCCCAATATAAAACTGCCAAAGAAGCTTTCTCAGCAATTCCAATGTGGCCAATTCTGTTCTAAAAGATAAAGATTTACACCCCTATGACATTTATCTGCTTTGGAAACATTTTCTGTGTGCACCTAGGACCTCTCAAATTTGGGGCATACAAAATATCTATGTCCCAAATACAACTCCCCTCCTTATCCTCGAACAATACAGATTGTCCTATGAACCAAAAAGAAACCGTTTCTTCTGTATATACAGTATTTTCCAGCAGGACCACTACCACATTTCTAAGGCAAAATACAGAGTAGAAATAGCATTCCTAAATGAAAGCACTATCTACCGTGCTTTAGAACTAGATTTCAGTTTAAAAGTTAAACGCTACATACAGGAGTCTCAGGGAGGAAATATTCACACAGCAGGTAAAAGTATGTGCAGGCACTTAGCTGCTATAAGGTTGCACCAATACACCAGTATTTCAACAAGAGTCTCAGATAAATGAATCAAAATACAGTGTGCTATATGTCCTCATCTCTAATTCCAATATATAAACAATATACATATGTAGTCATGGGACTTTTTATGAGAACATATAGATAAAAAGAAACACTGCATATATAAATAAAGTTTATTTATACATTAAATAAAAAACATACAAATTGAAAGCATGCTGGCATAAAAAAAAATGTGTTTTGGGGTTTTACAGAGATTTTGGGGTCCAATATGATCCACAAGTAGACAACGCGTTTTGAATGATCTTCCTCAGGAGTATATATGAATGATATCTATAAACATAGCATATATATTATAGACATATGACACATTAAAACAGATAATCATCATACCTAAAAGCTTTAGGAATGTTTCATACCCGTAGATGAAACCCTCAATTTCTCTAATTAAAAATATACAAGATTCAGCTGGGAAGCACAAACTGTGAAGCATCTTTCTCCCCCGGGGGTAGAGGAGGAAGGGGAGGGAATTTTGGTAATATAGGTGGCACACATCAAAAAAATATGAAGATGCATCACGGTATACTGTAGAGAATATTGTCAAACGTCCATTTCCTACAACAATATGTATACAGTCACACAGGTATTGGTTTTTAAAATATACCTGTGTATATATTTGCATATATATATATATATATACACACACACACACACACACACACACACACACACACACACACAACAGTTACCCTCAGTCAAAAGAAACAATGAGAGAGGAGTGTCTCCACCATATGTGTATTTGGAAAATCACAACACAGCAATACTTATGCATCACTAGAGCAAAGTAAGCCTCAAGCTTCTCCGCATAGTTTGGTTAGAGCCTGATACATATCTAAAAGATACCAAAAGATAATATCAAAGAGGTCGATCAATGTTTGTATGTCCCAAGGAGGAATTCTATGGACATCATTCAAAAGATGGAGAGGAAAGGGGGAGCAGACTTGAGCAAGGCAGGTTCCAAGTAAAGATCTCACCAACAAGTCTGGATTTGATGGACTCCAGCAACAAGCCAATATGTAACCTAAACCCTTATTTTATTTAAATGCTCAGGATCCACCCAATCCATACCATAAGATCAAAACTGTCCAATCAATAACTGCTATCAATCTCCCAAAAGTGGCCTCTTGGCTATTAATCATTTCCGGGTCTTCTCTCATGAGAGGACGTCATTCGTACGAACATATAGTTCGCACGCGATGACATCATGCTTGGTGCCATTTTTGGAAGATGTGGTCCATGCTCATAATGGCGGAGGACAAACGAACTGCTACTTGGTCTCTTTTGTATCCTGCATCTTTTCAACACAGCTGCATTTACTTTCTTTTAACTCCTTTGGGAGATTGATCGCGGTTATTGACTGGACAGTTTTGACCTCACTGGGAGGATCCTGAGCATTTAAATAGAATAAGAACTTAAGCAGCATTTGGCTTGTTCCTGGAGTCCATGGGATACATACAAGACTTGCTGGTGAGAGCTTCTTTACATGGAAACTGTTTCTGTCTTCTCCTCCTTCCCCTCCTTGATCATTAATCATTGAACATTGATCGACCGCTTTGATATTACCTTTTGGTATCTTTTAGAGAGATATATATTTGCGGTAAAGCTTGAGGCTTACTTTGCTCTAGTGATGCAAGTGTTGCTACGTTCTGATTTTCCAGATACACATATGGTGGAGATACACCTCTAGGTCATTTGTTTCTTTAACTGAGGGCAAACAACTGTTGAAAAAAAAAAATAAAAAAAAAATTATATATATATATATATATATATATATATATATATAAAAAAGATATACACAGGTAAGCTTTAAAATAAATACCTGTATGACTGTATATTCTTTTCTGCAGGAAATGGATGCTTGGCAATGTTCTCTGCAGTGTATTGTGATGCTCCATATTTTTTGATGTATGCTACCTATATTACCAACACTCCAACCCCGCCCCTCCCCCCCCCAAGGCTCTCCCCAAGGCAGAAAGATGCTTCAGTTTGTGCATCCCAGCTGATTCTTGTATTTTTGTTTTTAATTAGAGAAATTGAGAGCTTCATCTTTCATATGAGTATGAAACATTCCTAAGGCTTTAAGTATGATAATTACCTGTTTTAATGCATTATATGTCTATTGGCTATGTTTCTAGATATCATTCACAGGGATTTGTGAGGACAATCATTCGAAACACGTTGAGTCTACATGTGGATCATATTGGACCCCAATATTTTTGTAAACTCCAAAATTGACATTTTGTAATGTCAGATATCTTCATTTTGTATGTTTCTATTTAAAGTACAAATAAACTTTATGTTATCACAGATGCAGTGTGTCTTTTCATCTATATGTTCCTCATAAAAAGACCTATGGCTACACATGTAAATTGTTTATCTCTTTAAAACTACTGTATTAAATCAGCACTAGCCAATACTAAATACCCACCATCAATAAAATGGACACTGTCCCCTTTTGTCATGATAAATAACACAGACAGAGGTGGTTTATTTTATCAGAGGTTGGTGGGTTTATGTCTTTTTTAAGGTATATGAGATAAATTAATTTCTCTGGTCCTATATTCGCTGTCTGCAATGTATTTTCTCACATATGTGTGCTGGGGTCAGAGGACTACTGCACTAACAAACAAGTGCAAGGGTAATTCTTTAAATGTTACTGAGGGAGGAACAAGTAGGAAAAACTGTTGTAATATGATTAGCCCTATCCTAGATTTTAGGCATATTTTCAAAAACCCTGCTCTTAGAAAAAGAAGAAAGATACCATCGTGGACCCTTAAAACTGAAAATACTAGTTGCCTGATTATCAGACTGACTTCACTCTGTCTTAACATGATTCATATTTGTTCTAGGCCTGTGACTCACTGAATCCTGGTAACTAGAAATTGGTCAACACCAGCCCTAAAATATCTCTCAGAACAGCATTGCTTCATGGTAAAGCCCAACTTCAAATGTTTTCACTTTGTTTTGCAAAAGTAGGGAAAGATTAGACCATCTTTCAGGTTTTTATTGCCATGTGTAACTACTGAGATTTCCCCTCACTTCCTGTTCAAGGAAGTCCGTTAAACAGGGATACAAACAAACACATTTTCACAACAGTGTGGAAAGTTTAGAACCTCTAACAAAGTTTCACTGAGGTCCTTCTTGTTCTGGTGAGAAACTAACCGAAACAATTTCTTGTATAGGTCTCACAGTGACTGGAAGTAAGGGAAATTCCTCCCAATGGGTTAACAGAAAGAAAAAAAAAAAAAAAACCTATTTCAACTATTTATAACTATCTAAAAAAAACAAAACAAAAAAACACTGGATGTAGGTTTTGAATCATGCCTACAAAATACACAAGAGCACAAATCATTAGGGTACCACTAGACAAAAAGATAAGTTTACATGGACCAAAGCTTGACCCATTGAGCAATGTTCTGGAATGGTATGCACTCTGGGTCTTATTCCTGCAATGCCAGCAGCACCATGAATGGTGTTTCTAATTTTAAGTCTGGTATGGCCCTCCGTAGAAGTGAGAACAAATTACACTATGTTATTCATTTCCCACTGTATTATTATACCTTTTAAATTTTCCTTTCAAATGGGACGGTCTGATCTGATCAGGAGCACAGAACTAACTCTCAACAGATTTCTACTCCAGTAATGTATGTTTGTATGTATGTATGTACATTGTGTGTGTATGTGCATTGTGTGTGTATA